GCTTTAATTAGATTGCCAGGATTCGCTCTCCCTGGTATCAGAAACTATGGCGGTGCTTTATTTTCTGCTGAAAGAGCAGCTAACCCTGGTGAAACGTCCGAAGATATCGGAAACAGAACGCGAAGGAGTTACTCGAAATGGACTCCATTTCGCAGTGGTTGGTGCTGTTGTTGATGATCTTATGCTCGGAAGATGTTTCTAAGTGCGAATTGGGAAGTTGAGTGTTTTTACGTGAGTTTTATTATAATCAGTTAGGTTGGTTGGTATGTAACTGTTTGAATGCTAGTAATCCTTTTTTTTTCGATTTTATAGGATTCAATTTCTACGTGATATTAAAAAATTCTTTAGCGTTACATTCAAGTTTAAACAAGAAACTCATATACAACAAGAAATTAATTTGTGTTATAATTTTTCGTTAGTTAAATTTGTTATTAAATAAACATTAGCAATATCTAAATACCCACATATCTGTGATAACTTATATTCCCACTAGATTGTTTAAAATCACACTTATTAAATAACAACGCGCGCATGAGATTTATATGCAATCAATAGGTAATACCCATGATACAAGTCAATCTAACAGCCAACAACCAACCATTTCTTCCACAGCAAAATTTGCCTGATCAAATAATAAGCATAGAGACGAATATTATAACATGCCACAATTGAGAATTACTGGTGAACAAAATTTCATTTTAATTTACACGTCAAAAAAATCTAGTTCACTAAGAAAGAATACTATACCTGGATAAATTCTCATCATATTTTTATGTATACCTTCTTTCTCTTCTGTTCTAGCTTTAAACCGCGTCCCTATTTCATCGTCGAAGAATAAACCACGTGTCTCAATGCCGCTGAGAGTCTGATATAACCTACAGGTAGCCTGTTATGTTGAAGAAACTTACGGTTGGATCTTTGATTGTATCTAAAATGCAATAAAATTTTGTGAAACAATCGTATAGTTATGTACATATATATTATGCATTTCCATTTTTATCGAAAGGATGTCGAAGTGAAAGGAAACTTCTTAGCCCTCGCTTTATACAGAAAGAGCAAATTAGATGGATTATAAAAGAAACAAAAAAACTATAATTATTTACTTATATATGTGACTAGAACCTATAATTTGACACTCGCAAACCCATAATTTTACCTGTCATCCATTGCCCAAGCACGTACAACACGAGTAGCACGAAAAATAACAAGAATTCAGCATTATTTGGACGGAAATACATGAAGATCTTTGCAAATGATGTAGATTTATATTCCCATATTATATCGACATGAGTAATGTCATGTTGGGAATAATCATTATTAATAGTGATCAGAGATATTTTGCAATCGATGTAAACGCTCTATTTTTGTGTGGTAAACTTTTGAAGATAGCTACATGTATTTGATGAATTGATGCTTTTATATACTAATAGTAAGAATAATTCATATATATATCGAACGATGTTATAATTTATATGGTAGTATTTGCAAGATTTAAAACAGTAAAACTCTAGTAAAATATTTAGAACTACTATTGCAAACTTATGGTGTTCAGTTTCAGGCTATTTCTTATTCACATTTACAAATCGCAAGTGTTATTGGAAAAGCATCAATTTGATGAAAATTATCATATAATACTACAACAATCTTCTATGTAAGTTTTTTTTAATATATTGTTAACTCAATTCAAAAATTAGGTTGACTAAAGAGTTGAAGATGCAACAAAGGTCACTCGTACGAGTCGTAAATCAATACAATTAATTGAGTAAACTTTGAGAATAAAATTAGATGAAAATATATAAGAACACTGTAATTGTAATTAACAAAAAATAAAACAGCAGATTAATTATTTTTTTTATAAAAAGTTTGTAGTCATAATAAGACTATTCAGTAAAAGCTATAACAACAAAGAAAATGTTGAAAATTTAGCAATTCAGATTTTTTCCTTCATTCTCCAAAAGTGAATGTTTCAAGCATAATTGCAATAATTTTTTCTGTAATGAGTAATAGGATTTAGATCTTTTTTGACTTAAGTTGTAAAATCGGAAATATGACAAATCAACACAGTTTCAAATAAAAATATCCGTACAAGATCGGAGATTAAATAAGTGTAATAGCTAAGAGATGACTTTTGGATTTTTGTAACAATTATTGCTTATTATTTTTTAAATTTTAATTTAGTCATATAAATTCGGTGTTATTTAAAAAGTGCAAATAAAATACGTCATATAAAGAGCCTAAAATAAATACCAAACCTCATCTGGTGTTACTGTCCGCAACAAGATAGTTGATTTCAAAAATACAACTACCGGATAAAAATATATTACCAGCAACAATTTTATTTCTATTATATGATACCCAAAAAGTCCAAATAAAGACAATATAATCTAAGGTCTAAGGTTTTCCTACCCAATATCAATTTATCACCAGCTTTTATAATTTAAATTCAAATTTTGAAAGAAAATAAAAACGTCATTGAAAAATCAAGCTCTTATTAGATGAGCTAAGAGCAATATCTTCGAAATCAACCAGCAAAATATATGACTGAATTCGCTTTTTAAAACATCTGTTTTTAAAGCAATAGCCTTACAGTTAGTATTTTACAAGTAGACCAGATGTCGTTATGTTCTATGTTGAATATATACAGTTTATTTATAAAATTTAACTGGAGAATAATCACGAGATTGCTTAACAGCTTTGCGCACATGGCATCAAGCAGGGTTGGACGCCTTCATTGAAATTTGCAAATAAATTAGTTTTTGCTACATTACATTTCTGCACGTTTGTAGCATGTTACTTTGGAGTGCGGGAACATATACATTATTATTACATGTATTAGATTTTGTCTATAATTTGATCAGCAACATTCTTTTAAGCATTTTTACAAGCTGAGATTAGTTTTTGAAAAATTGTATACTAGCCTTTTTTTCTAGTAATTTTATTAATATACGATAGCATAAGAAAGTTACAGGTCAAGTTAACTTGGCTAAGCTAAAAAATAAATATTTTATTTTAAGATGGTATTTGTAACAAAAATATAAAGCTTTAACTTCAAATAATACTTATTGTGTATATTTTACATCAAATTTTATTGTAATTTTGTGCAAAATTTTAATGCTGAATTTTTAAACTCCAAAAAGTAAATTACAACTAAAAAATGCACATGAATCACGTGCCAAAAAGTACAAATGAATCAACATCAATTTATTTTAATTAATATAAAAACCATAAATACCTTATTGTTTACGATGTCAAAACCACTCTTCAAAATTTTGTGTTCTTCATTCATTTTCTTCAAGTTTCGTTCTCTTAGCACAAATCTTGCTCTCAGTTTCTTTTCTTTTACCCTACTGAATTATTAATGTCACTACTGCAAACCAAAACGCATCATCTGTATTTAGCCGGTTCTGCCTGAACTTTCTGGCCTTCTTATATTAAATTCTTTCTCTTTTCAATTTTCAATATTAATATTATAAAAACAAAATTTTTACCCTTATCGAAGCATGCTTCTCCCTCAAAATCAATCTGATATTCAAGGATTCTCCAATCGCATTATTCACTGGGTGAAATCAAAGATAGAATTGAATATTCATGATTGTAATAAATATTTAAATATGACTATGTATAGGCAACCATTTTTTTTTTAATTTGATGTGTATTTATTTTTTATTATCAACGCTATTTGCTATGTTATGTTATGGGGAAGTCATACGATACAAGTTTGGAAGGAAGGCAGAGTAGGGAGAAGTAGAGAAATGAGTAGTATAATATGATAAGTGTTCAATTCATTAATGTACTTTTGTCAACAAAATGAAAACTTTTGGAATGTTTCGAATAAAAAAAGAATGTGTCAAATTTGTTTATTCACACATAAAAGGAATCCTCTTTAAAAGATTTACCAATGTTAAATAACTTGCATAAGGAGGTTTGGAACAATTTATAAAGCAATTATTAGGAAGAAAATAAATTTAAATTTATTGGAGAATACAAAATTGTGTTGAAATCAATACCTAACATTACACAACACAGAGCAAGTTATAATGGGATCTATAAAAGAGGTAAAACGGACATTTTCTTATGTACTTTCTAATTGTCCGGAGCATAGCGGAGGACTTACATTTTCACTAAAAGATCTTTGTAAAAAATTGTCCATGTCATATAAAATCACATACTAGCCATGCAATCAAGTCACGGGAATGAAGATCTTTAGCGGTGTTACGAAATCGAGTTATATACATGTAGATGTATAAAGAAATTATTAATTATATAATTATTAGCTCCAAACTTACAACAGTTCCTGCTTTTATATTCAAAATTTTTCATAATAGATTTTAAATAAATATTATGGATTTAACTAAAAATCCCATTTGCACAGTCACTCCCAAAAGTTTTCTAGTTTTCTGAGACATTCCACGTAAATAAATTTTTTAAAAGATACCTACTGTTTTCAGCTATAACCACAAAAGTACATAAATACATCGACTTGTAAATATGTTTGTTGATCTTTGTTGATTACACTTCGTAAGGAGAAAAATACTCAATATGGACAAACAGTTGAGTCATGAAAAGTTATTAATAATTAAAGATCAAAAAAAATGTGGTCCAGAGTTAACATTACAAGAATCATTAAATTCTAATTGACGTGTATAGTAATTTTGTTGAAAGTTTAGCTGAAAAGAATTAAGCTACATATTCAAAATTAAGATGAAGTGATAAAATGCTAATTACAATAGATTTCTAAGTTTAAATAAAGGTTTTGAAAACTTTTATGAGGCGACTTTACTTATTTCTTCAGATACGGTTGCAACACGATTTTTAGCATTCGTCCGCTCGATTTACAGCTCATTTCTTTTTGAAGAATTATAAATTAAATTAGATTTTCATGTAAAATAATAAAAATTGATTGGTTATTTTATTATAAGTGTTTTGAATACAAGATGAAAAATTAAATAACATAGTTTAGCCTTTTGCAAAATAGTTATACCATTAGCATAAAATTTGTGTTATTTGTTAACATTCAAAACAAATTTTCTAACAACTTCATTGAATTTTTTTGTTTCCTCCCAGAAAGGAATATGTCCGGAATTTTCAAATACAATTACAGTGCCATTTTTCGCTTTTTCTAATGCAAAGTTAGCCGCCCTTGGGTTCGTAGCTACGTCTTTTGCACCACTTATTATGAGGATTGGAATAGTCAAGCTCGTGTAGGTCTCAACTATACAAGTATTAAAGAAATTCGAATATAATAATTCAAAAATAGGTGATCAAATAAATTCATCACATGATTGATAATAACATACCAATGTTAAACTCAGAGCTGAGTGATCCACTAATGTATGCAGAAGGCGTAAATATGCTTCCACCAAGAAAAACTAAACGAGTAGTTTCTTCAAGCGGCGGTAAACCTTCTCCAGTAAAATTTCTTATAAGATAATCTCGCACTTCAATCATATCTTCATACGTTAAATTCACAGAGCTGGATACACTTTCTAAAATGGCGGCGGAGAAATCTTCATCGTTGAGAGCATAGCAGACCGATACGACACCATTCAATTTACTCTGGCCATATTTTTGTACATATAATAACGTAATGTCCATTCCATATGACCATCCAACAATTGTAACTTTTTTGTTTGGATATTGATTTGTGGCGGCCGTAATCACTGCATTCAAATCATCCGCCACAAACGAAACATTATTGTAGAAATTTACATCTCGCGGTTTATCACTATCCAAAATACCACGCGCGTCGTAAAATACGAGATGAAGATCTTCAGTAAACTGTTTACTGATTAGTTGTGGCGCCCACACTAGGCGCGATTGCATGAATTCTGAAATAAAAATCACAGTTGGATCCTTCGAATCGCCAAACTGTTCGGCATATAGGCGAATGTTATTTGAACTAGTGACATTTAATTTACGCAAGCCGCCTTTACGGAAATTGTCGTATTTAGCGAAGCTATTGATAGGTGAGGTAACTGATGATACAGGATCTTCATCGAATTGTGCACTAATAGTTGTTAGTAGCAAAATCGTTAAGATAAAGACGAATTGTGAATTATTCATTTTTGAATTTATGAATTATTATCTTTAATGATTATTTTGTAGTCTCCTTTATATGACCACGAAGACAAACTGCTATGCAAAAAACAACGAATACTAGAATTGTAAGTTTTTATCTATGCAAAAATAACGAATTCTAGAACTGCACGTTAAGATGACCACAAAGACAAACTTCTATGCAAAAACAACGAATTCTAGAACTGCAAGTAATGTTGAATTAATTACCATATTTTATCATCGCTTGCGGCCACTGCCAAATTGATTTTCTATTTTGCCGAAAATAATTCCCATAAATGGGAATTATCTAAAGCCGTGTTCAATCACAGAATAAATCGATCAATGAAGTCGCGGAAAAACAGAAACTCCGGAGGATCGGATAGAATATCCGTCTTGTCTCACTCAAAGAATTGTAGACGCGACAACAATCGAGAGCTAGACCGAATGAATTACACAGAGTGGGTTTCGCTAGGGTTCTAAAGGTCTCCTATACCAATCTACACGGAGATTGTGCAATCAAAAGGGCAAAGGTAAGGTATAAAATATATTATTTAATTAAATAACATAAGTAATAACCAATTACTAACAAAATATAAAAAATATCGTAAATGTTCGTTTTTTTTTAAAATCAAACGAACATCATTTGATTGATACAATGGACAATCTATATAATGGACACTAATTTATAATGAATTAAAGCCAGATCAGTTTATAATAATTCGCCGCTGATTAATAGACTGTTGATATAACGAGAGACTTTTTGAAATTTTGTTAAATGAAAGTTTAACTGTCGAAAAGACATAGCAGCCAATTCCAATAAAACACAAAACGTTCATAATTTATAAATAACAGATTAATTATTTTTACTAAGTATAATACTAATAATAAAGTTAAATATAATTAAATCTCTTTATAATTATCATACTTAAGAAAGCAAAATTACATGATTAAAGAGAAATATGATTATAGAGAGATTTTTTTAATTATAAATAATTAATAACTGAAAAATTAAAAAAAAAGATAACTATAAAAAAGATAACTATAGAAAGATATAATTATAAAAAGTTTTAAATTAATTATAATAATAAATGATAATTTTAAATTTAACAAATTAATACTAAAATAATTATTAAATATTACTTGAAATTATTAAATATTTTTTATTTTTATATTATTCTATATATACTTTTAATTTTGTATACAATGAATTCTTCATATAAGCACACTCTTGGGAATGGGCAAAAGTATACTTATATGGAGGGATGCATATATAGAGAGTCAATATTTTATTGACTATATATGATTGAATAGAATTTTTATTTAATTATAAAGTAAAATATTATTACTGCTAATTAAAAAAACTCATTTATTATTGTTTATTTCATTATACTTATTGATTTTAAATGAATATAATAATCTAGTATATTAATATATTAGAATAATTCTTTAGAATCTTCTTGCTATTACAAAAAAGAATAAACAGTCTCTAAACTACTTGCAGTATTACTACAACTTATAATCAGTAATTTAACATTATTATCAACTTTATTATCATTAATAATATATATATCTGAAGATTTTCTATATATTTTAGCAAGGATTTCAATATATATGTCACTATCAGACACTTTATAAACTATTTTTCATTTGGATTATTCATAAACTTATTAAAACTCATGCTATTAGCTAAATTAAGATTTATAATCATTTGTGTAAGCTTACTAACTGTTATAGTTGGTGAATTATTATAAGTAAGCTTACTTAACTTAATATTAATATTAGTTGAAAGAATATTTATATATTTCTAATAATTACTAATAATTCTTGATATAATTTCTTTTCAGCTCTTAGTAATATAATTTATTATCTGCAGAATATTTATCTTTAAGTCTTTAATATTTTTTTCTTCTTGAATTTTACTTAAAATATATCTGATATACAGATTATAATAATATCTTTTAAATAAACTAATAATTCTCATATTTATTATTGAATTTTATTTGTAATATTTAGAGATAGAAAATAAATAATAATAATTAAAAAAATAATACTATCTGTTTTATAACTTGGATAATTATTTAAAATCAATAAGACTTTTTGATCTTTATATCTTTAAGTTACTTGCTTACTAAATTCTTGAAGTTATTCTTAAAAAATTATAGTTAATATTTAAGTCTTTTTATTAATATCATATATTATTAGTAAATTATTAATATTAATATTAGTAAAATATTATGATTTGACAAATTTACTAATAACTGATAAATCTAACTTATAAGAGCTATTAGTACTTATATATAAAGTAATACTAAGTTTTCTTTATCTTTTTTATATTCAGAAAGTTAATGATTCTTTATAAAATTTTCTTAGATAAATATTATATTATTCTTTAAATTTTTAAAGCTAAATAACTAAGTTTTATTTAAAACTTCTAAATTATTTGCTTATTATTTTGTCTTTTTAATTAAGATAATATCTGATAAAATAACTCTGTCTTTGTAAATTAAAATAAATTTCTTAAAAACAAGTTTAAGTTTAAGAACTATCATCAACTTATGATACTTTATATTTGATTAGATAAGTTCAGTATTAAGTATTTTTTCACTTTTTTTAAAACTCTTAATATAATTAAATTATTAACTTGAATTATCTACTTACTTTTAATTTAATTAATATATTCTTTTCTAATTAATTTAATATTTTGACAAGTATATAAGCAGAATTTATATTTTTGATAATTAGATAATTTTTAATATTTTATTTAAAGATATAATAATATTTAATATTATATATTAATATTAGTAAAAATAAAATTTTAATATTTGAATTATATCAATTTATATATAGTGATTTATGAAAGAAATAAAATATAAGAAAAAATTAGTAAGATATAAATTTATTAAAATGCTATTTATCAATCAATACAAATTTTATTTTTATCTATTATTTATATTTTATATAATAATTTTTTAGTATTTTGTATAATATAACTGAAATAAAAGAAGAAATTCAGACTTATAAAGTTAATTATAAAAGTATCTTTTTTATTTTACTAATAAATAAAAACTAAATAATATTTCTAATAATAGTCAAAATAAAATTTTAATTCTCAATATCTTGAATTTCTTATAAAAATATGTTTGTATTTATATTTTTAATAAGAAAAGTATTTATATAAGAAGAAAGACAAAACTAAAAGCTTTAATAATAATTCAAGATCTAGCTATATACTAATTCTTTTATTATATTATAAGTAAAATATAGTTTATTTAATATAATCTAAAAAATAATTTATTATTACTCAGATTTAATATAAGCTTAAAAATAAGTTAAATATTAATTTATTAGTGAAGAGTATATGAAGAATAAATTAGATAAATAGCTTATTTATAAGAATAAAATAAAAAAGTCTTTACTCAGTAAAACTTATCAAAAAAATGATCTTTTTAAGAATATAATATAAAGCTAATCTGTTATGCAGATAATGCAAAATAAAGATCTAAACTAAAAGAGATCTAAAAGAAGATAATTTAATCAAAATTATTACAAAAATATATAGATAAATATTATACTGGAATCTATTTCAAAATAAATAGAGAAAAAATAATTACTTATGATAACTATATTAGAGAAAATAACTCAATCTTCCTGTCTATTCTTAATATAGTGAATATAATAAATTTAGAAAAATATTTGTTACTGAAAATTATAAGATATACTTCTGTACTTATAAATATTAATATATATATTGGTTTAATTATGAAGAATGAAGAAAGAATACTAGAATAATTAACAAGCTTAGAGAAAGAAAAATACTATTAGAAGTTTATAAAGAATATGATAAAATTTGCAAAGTAATTCTATCTTACTTTATATATAAAGATGACTTTATTTATGAAATTATCTATAAGAGTTCTATAAAAGTCTCTGTTACTAAAATATTTTAATATATTTATTAATAACTTATTTCTAATTAAAGATAACAGCTTGCTCATTTGGATTATATCAATATGAAACTCTGTCAAGAATATCTAATCTCTTGTAATAATAATAAATATAATAATTATATACAATTTGAACTTTTGATTAAAATAGATAAAGAAAAATATTCTATAACTTTGAAACTAATTCTAAAAAAAGTAGTAACTAATGAATTAGTTAAAGAAATTAATTTTACTCCTATTTTAAATCAATCTTCTCAACTCAAATTGAATGAGATACAAGAAAATTTAATATTATTTATTAGATTCTTAATAAATTATTATAACAATTTAATAATTATTTAAAGCATAGCTTTGTAAAATAAAATGATAAATACTATACAATCAAAGTTTATAATGATTAAAATAAAGGAAAATTACTAGAAAAAGCACATACTACTAATGCTGATTATAATATTTATTATACTAGAAAAAAAATAATTAGAATTCTATCATATTGAATCATATTAATAGATATATATATTGCTATAAAAATCCCTATAGAAGTTATATATTAAGTAATATTTCACTTATTTCTTTCAAAACAAGAAATTAATATTAAAGATAGAATTATTAACTCTGAATATACTAGAAATATTAGTATGATTATTCAAAATAATTTAGAAGAAGATTATATTATTGAATCAAATCAAAAAATCACTTGACTAGTATTTCTATAATAATCAACTTAAATTAGTTTTCATATAAAAGAAACTTGAATAATTTAGTTAAGAAATAGCTGAATTTAGATTTACTAATTATTAAAAAGCCTATATCTATTTCTTGAAATAAGAATAAGAAGAAAAAGTTATTAAATAATAAAATTAACTATAAAATAAGAAAGACTTCTTACTTAATTACTAAAAGATAATACTAATATTTTTATAACTGAATTATATCAACTTGACTAAAATAATATAATTTAATATAAAATATATATACTGAAAATAAATTACTTATCAAATAATAATCTTATAGAACTACTCTTCCAAATTAATTATTTATATCAAAAGAAATTCAAAGAAT